CTGATATTTCTGATACAAGCCACATTTCTTAAAAATAAGTTCTGAAAATTAAATCAGAAGCCTTAAAACTCATTAACTCTAACAGCTCCCTATATTGCTGGGACTCAAAGCGTGGGTCACAGACTAATGCCGGTCCTCAGACTGTTACTTGTCCTTGTTGAGGTAAGAAGAAAACTTGAGTTATTCAGAAATTTTTATAGCAAGTTGACATTGCTACAACATCCAAGCACTTGATCGTGTAATTCATTTCCATAGTTTTCTACAAAAATATCAGTCTGGCAGGAATTAGAAATTTAAAAATCTCCTTCTTCACCACAGACTCCAAGAAGCACTGCTCTGGAGAGCATTCGTGAGGCTCCTGAAGAGTTTCAGATGGAGAAGGAATTAGATAAGGAACAACTTTTTGGTGGAGAAAAGGAGGAAGCGAAGGAAGGAAAGGAAAGGAAGAAAGGGAAGGAGAAAAGGATGGAGGGAAGGAAGGAAGGAGGGAGGGAAAGAGTTAAACTACTCCATAATACACACAGCAGAACAAAGTAAAAGACCTCAAATTTGCGCCCCATGTGAAGTGAAGTTTAATTTATCCCTTGGTTGAGCTGTCATTGGTTGTGAATTCTCTGTTTAAGTCAGCCTTCTCCTAAGCCACATGTGAAAGAACCCAACTCCAAATAGCTTAAGCAAAAAGAGAACCCATTGACTTGCATACTGGAGACTCTTGGTTTAAAGCTTGTCACAGGGATTCTAGGGATTTGGAGTCATCATTCTTATTTACTCATTAATCCTCCCCCACTCCTCCTCCTTCCCCTCTCTCCCGTCATTTCTCTCTCAGGATTGTCCTATACTTTTCTACAGCAGATGGGATTCTGCCATTTGGTGGAGGGAGTGGAATGGCTTTACATAGAGCAATGCTTGTGTCATCTTACCTTAGCTGCTTCAGGGGGAAGAGAGGGCCCTTCTCTTAGAGAGCATACATACAATTTCAAAGGAGTACTCTCATGGCCCTACTCACGCAGTGTGTTCAACTTTGGGCCAAAGGGAAAAGAAAATACTCTGGTGCACATGCCATGGCCAGGGTTAGTTGGGATGAGGTAGGATGGAAATGGGGTTCTCTGATCAACAGCCCCATGAGAAACATATAGTTAATGGCAAGTTCCCCAAAGATAGGGGCTGATGTTACAGAAGAATGGAAGAAAGAAAGAGCAGAATGAGCAAGAAATCTAACTGGTAAGAAACATGGCAGGAGGTGGAAGACATAGGAAGGAAGACAATCAGAAAAAAGAAACAGGAAAAATACCCTCCAGCAGATTGAGAAAAATAGGATGACAAGTTTTTCCAATTCTATTTTGTCTCTAATATGTGAGATGTATTTATGTGTGAAAATAGTCTGACCCTAATTTGCCTCAATATTACAGAGATTCAGACTCTTGCTTATGGGACTTCCTATAGACTGGACTCCTTCCATAGCCTCCTTCCTGACAGAGGAGTGTGTGATGATCACTGTACAATCCATAGTATATACTTCAAGCCAAATGCTGCCTGATACACGTCCTTGTAGCCCTCATGTCTACATACTTAGGGCCATTTGGCTGCGACCCACTCTGTGTTCTAGGAATAATTATGGTCTTCAGCATAAGGAAGTTACAGAGCTCTTATCCATGTTCACTTATATTGTGGGACTCAGCATCATGTCACACTACATTGGCAGCCTCGCTTTGCATATCATATTGATTCTGACAACTGAGTACTTATTGATTATAATCGATTATAAGAACTAATCTCCACTTCTCTCCTGGTTCTGGTTTTCTGGGCTCATTACATGGTTCGAGCCCCTATTCAATAACCATTTTAGTATCCCTGTTCCTTTAGAAGCAAGACTTGTGTTCATGGTAGTGCCCAGTGTTTGGTTATGGGCTCAGGACTCTGGTGACTAAAACAATTGGCCCCAACCTGCTGGGATATCTGAATAGCATCTGTCCCTGATATCCCTTTGGCCACATCTATTATGCCACCCCATTCCTCTAGGTTATGTTTGCCAGCTCACAGAGCTCAACTCAGCTTAGTTGGTATCTGCAGCGTCTGATCTATTGCAGGGGACACATCTAATTCTAGGTCACAGTCCTTCTCACAGTCTGCCCTGTCCCTCTGCTGTTAACCTGATGCTTGCATGACCAATAGCAAATATAGTTCATGGAATTAATTAAATATGATTCAAAAGTATTTTCAAGGCCAGATACTTTATCACTCTTCTAATTTCCCAATATGGCTTCTGTTGATCTTCATTAATGCTATTTTGTTTGGTGTGCTAGGACTAGCTCAACACATGTGTCCTGATAATAATTGAAAGATATTTTGTTCAAATTATCTTTATGAATTAGGAGTTCATGATATTCCTTTGTAAAATGAAGATCACAATGATGGCTAAGCGTATTTGTTACTTAGCCAGTTGGCTGGTCTGCTCATAAACCAACGTGTGCTTCACTACACTACTTCCATCAGAGTAACTGAGCGGGTTGCTTTTTGAGTCAGATTCTCCTTGCCTCAAATACTGTTGTAAATATCTTTGTATGCCAGAACTAACTCTTTCAGGCAATTGAGGGGTTTAGCAGTGTTTAGCACACTGTTTTTCAAACAAAAAAAAAATTTTTTTTTTTTGCACCGTTAATATTTAGGACAGAAATCTTAGTAAAATATAAGCTAGAACTTGGACTTAAGGATTCCTAATAAGATCCACAGTATGGAAATTTTAGTTTTGAAGAAGAGGTAGCTAAAAATAAACTTCAATACTATCAGGAGAAACAAAAAAGGAGTTTAGAATTGTAGATTTCTTAGTAAGAAAGCCACAATCTTTTGTTCTTATTTATAATAAGTTTAAATGGTAACAATAGCTAAATCTGTAGAAAAACACTTCAAAGAAATAACTAGAAATGTTAACCTGAACATAAGATTGTTTTGATGTTGTATCCTAGAATTGAGAGCTGGCATATAAAAGGGGTTATTAGAAAGATTCTGAATTCCCAACAGAAATCAGACTGTATATCCCAAATAATCTCCCTTTTCCTGAGCAGTAAACATACTTCTTTGGATAGGAATTTGATTCATTAGAACTAAAGGATGCCCAATACAGAAGAATAAAGTCAAAACAACTTCCGCTACCCCTAAGGGTTGTAAATGAATAGTGCTCAATTGTGTACGCTGTGTCAATGTCATACTAGGAATGTAAAAATTGAGCTTTTGCAAAATTGAATACAGGTCCAAACTGACAGATGGGTTTCTATTGTTTATAACCAATGTAATTTTTTATTTTGTTTTAGAAACATTTGAAATAAGCATTGAATCAAACTGACCCCAAATACTGAATTTAGGTATGAAAATTCTAGCAGTTCTATCAAGTCAGAAATCATTATAGCTAACATTTACTAAGTGCTTACTTTATGCCAGTTACTCTTTTAAGTGCTTTATATGCATTCATTTAAATCAGACAGCATTCCTATGAAGCAGAAATTATTATTATCCCCATCTTGGGGCAAAGGAACTAAGCCACAGAGATGTCAAATACCCAGGGTTACATAGAAGGTAAATTGTAGAGTCAGGATTTGAACTCAGTCATTTTGGCTCCAGAACCTTCATTCTTTACCAATATGCATTATTCCCCAGTGTGTTCCAGAGGGAAACACAAATCTTAGGAATTATTTGTTCAAAGACAGAATCTGACATAATCATTGTTAATGACCTAAGACTATTTAAACATTGTAGAATTTATAATGTAAGAGAACTATCCTAACTACGTACCCTATTAATATATTTAATAATAACATAGGGGTGATTAACTGTATTTAACTATCAAAAAACTTAAATGAAAAATATTACCAAAGTAATAATACTTTTTTCTTATCTTTCTAGCAATCTTGACACAGAGGAACTCTGTGGTAAGTTTCTTTAAGACCTGTCAAACCCATTAGTTGTTTTAAAAGAAAAAAGAATATTGTCTGATATATTTCTGTATTTCTTGGAATGAATGGTATAGATTAGTAGTTCTGGAATAAAGTAAAAGATAAATCTCGAGGGACTTACCTTTATCCATGAATTTTGCTCAAGCATGTATTTCATTGCAGAAAGAGTTGGGCCTCGTTAATTTGTTCACGGAAGGAGAATTGTTACCACAATCGGTACATTAGTTTCACAAGGGAAAATTCTCCACCAGTTTGAATATATGTTTAAATTGGTGTTTAATATAACCTCATTATTCTCTCCACAATATATTGTGCAGAGCCTTTTGTTACTGTTTTGCAAAGCTGTCTCCTTGAAATGTAAAAATAACTTTGTCTCATACCTGCCTGAACCATTCTGGAGTTTTAAATGTCAATTGCAAAACAAGTGATTCAATGGAGAGAGATAAATCAGTACAAATGCCTGGTTTAATTCCTCTTCATTTGTTTTCTTCATCTTTGTAAAGTCAAATCTTTGGCAAAAATCAAAGATTAGGAATATGGAAAGGTAAAATCTCTGAAATTCATTATTTTTATGAAAAAATGTGGAGCATTATGAAACTATTCAATTTGAAACAGCTATATTTCTCTGAATACTGGAAGGTTTAAGTTTTATGTTTTAGGATAAATGTACAAGGTAATATCTTTGTCCAAGTTTGATGTTGTTGTCTAGGCTGCTCAAAACAGTTTTGATGCTTAGAGGTGAGTTTCTCTGGAACTCCTAATTGAAACTACAAACACTTCCTGAACGTCTCATAATTCTTACAGTTTTAGAGTTTACTAAAACCATCAAAAAGGCCATTTGATGACATTCAAGAGTGGTTATCTTTCATTTCATCAAAGTGGCAGAGCAACGCCAAGAGATGTCATGCCAGACAAAATATCAGAATACGGGGTTTCAAGACAATAACTCTAAATAAAATGAGTGTAATCATTAACCATGAGCTTCTAACTTTTCCGATGGTCATAAAAAACTCTGTGCTTCCTGTCCCTGTGTAGTGTCGCTCCCAGGTTCAGGAAGAAAAACCCAACTGAAAAGCAGGATATGTTTATGCAGAAGCAAGGTACTTAGGCTCCAAAACAAGTCATGCTTTTGTTAGTTATGAAACACCAGCAGAGAAAAACAAGGAAAATCCTTCTGTGTTTTCAGATACAATCAAGCGGTGGCACCATCCACGCATGGCTGTTACTGTGCTGAGTGCCCCAAAGGGCCCGTATGGACCACTGCCACGAGGTTTTGTGATGAATAGCAATCTCCATAAAGGTCAAGTTGTGGTTCAGTCGCATCCATGTGCAGAGTCCTGCCAGTGAAATAGACGAAGTAGAGAATTGAGAAGATTATCTTGATAATTTCATGAAGGCGGGAGACCCATTTGCCTCAAATGTCCACATATGTCAGGCCAAAGTAATCATTCAGATATTTTTTGTTTGTCATTTAACTTTCCATGCGTAGGCACAGCTGATGAGAAAGCAAACTGATATAAGGGCTTTTAAGATGAAAACACTTAGTGACTCTTTGTTTGCTGTGTAGCCTGTCTATTGTCATTAAGGAATATTGTGTTATCCTCTATCTTCCCTTAAAAATACTTAAAATTTTAAAGTATGATAGTGTCCACTTCTCTACAAAAAACTAATTAGGTTGTGAATTTGCCTTTCTTCTATCATAAGGGAACTAGATTAGGTGCTTATATTTATTGAAAAAGCTTTGACTATGATTTCCCCCCACAGTTTTAGTTGAAGATTTAATTCAACAGAAATGGAGATTTAATTCAGCAGAATTGTTCTATATTTTTTAAATCCGGTGATTGTATTCCCAATCATGTGTTATAATCCTCCCCCTCTCTGTTCAAGAATATGCGTTTTAATCTCTAGAGTGTAGTTTCATTTCTCATTATTTTGGGAATATAAAGTAAATATTTAAGTTGAATTCTAATCAAAGCCAAATGCTTCAGTGCTAGCAAGTGAAATATGTCTGTTCACACCCCCACAAATTCCCCCTTGTGTGTGGGAGGGGCAGACTTTGATTGGCATGGAAAGTAGATTTCATGTGCTCTCTTCTAGAAGCCAATTAAAAGTTTCAGATATCTAAAACTTTCATTTTGTTGCTTTTACTTAATTCATCAGTTTACTATGTTATGGACCTAGAATTCAAAATCTATTAAAATATTTATTTTTTAAAAAATCTTTGTGGCTGGCTATGAAGGATCATACCTGTAATCTCAGCACTCTGGGAGGCCAAGGCAGGAGGATGGCTTAAGCCCAGAAGTTTGAGGTGAGCTAGGCTGATGCCACTGTGCTCTAGCCTGGGCAACAAAGCAAGATTCTGTATCCCCTCCCCCAAAAATGTAATTTTAATTATGAAAGTAATACTTAACTACTATTTTTAAAAATTTAACAATGCAGAATTATGTAGGTGTATAAGCTAAAATGTCAAATCTCTCTCTCTCACTCATTCTCTTCCCCTGATACTGAGCTCCACTGTTAACTGCCTGAAAAGCAGCTTATGGGAGTGCCAATATTATTCATTCTTCACATATAATTGTGAAGGCCTTCCTAAATGCAACTTTTGGCCATATTTTATCACTATCAGTCAATATATGAGTCAGTTTTAGTTAGGCAATTATGTTTGAACTCCAGCATCGAGGCTTTGCTTTTTGTATGTCTGCCATCTTTAGCTCCATTTGAAGTGATCAGGAGCATAATTATTACTTTCCTGACCTTACCCAGTCTATGACTGTTTTCATAACCTTACTTATTTTTACTGAACAATTTTGCAAATCTTGAACTTAGTAGGTAAGAATTTTGAGATATTTATAGATGGTTGAAGGATAATTGCAATGAAAGTTCATGTAGCTAGGGTGCTTGATCTGAAAGCGTATTTGTAAGAAAGCTTTGTGAGCAAGGTTGAATATATTTAATAGTGTAATTTCTCATCCAAATGGTTACCAAATATTAAACTATTTTAAGAAGTTCAAAGTTAAGTTAGATGAAGTCTATAAATGCAATGGAAAAAAATCCGAGGGTGTGGGAAACTCCCAGAATAAAAGCTTATTAGCTTAATACACAGGTTCCATTTAGTAGCTGTGCATTAGGCACCGTGGGCAGACTGCAGAGCAGCACCAGCTTGCATTGCCACAGCCTGGGCAGTGCTGAGAGACCTGTGCCAGCATGTCTGGGTACTGGAAAGTCAGAAGCCTCTATGTCCTCTTCCAGGCTCTTAGAGCCCTGGCTACCTGGCACATGTCGCTCAGTGATTGAGTTAAAAACCATTTGAGTGGCAATGATTTGTACCCCCCTCAAAATAAGCCACATTTCTAAATTTCTAATTGACGCCCTTATTGAGAATATGGGGGTTTGGGCTCCTTTTCTCACCTCATTTTCTTTCCTACCTACTCTACTGCTTGAGAAGTTCTAAGGAAGTACATACTGTGAGATGTAAACTCAGAAGAATGCTTTGTGAGCCCAATTCTGGGGAGACCTTTGTGGCAGCTATGGGTCCTTTGGTTCTGATTTAGAATTCTTAGGCTAGACCTGAAAATGAAACAACTTGGAGGATTGAGGTGAAGAATAGGAAAAACAAAACAAAACAAAACACTGTAGTTTTGGTGATACAACATCACTGATTAAGTACAGTAGGGAAGAAATAAACTAACCTTTTTGTTAGCGTTTTATTAGAGAAGATGGTGTGTTGCATATCCATGAGAAGATAATTTGCTTTCTGACACATAACGTTAATACATCTGCTTATAAATTGTGCTCTACTCTTTCCTTATATCCAATGTCTAGACTCTTTACTTTTGAAAGATTTTTTTAGCTAAACTGATGAAGATTAGTTCTCACATATTTCCATAGATACGATACGACTCTATTTTACTCAAGTCCACGGAACCCCCATGTGGATTTCAATAAAAGTAGGTCTTTTCTCCAGGAAGTTATTCTAGTTACGAAAGGACAAGCATTGGAAGGAACTAATATTCATTCTGAATTATTCTCTCTCTCTAATGCCATGATTTAAGAACAAAACACATTTGCCCAGCTCACACTGGCATTGTGATGCAAATGAGAAACTTGATTCACTCTACAAGAATAAAATATTAGTCCTAAGCTCAGTCACTTCCAAAGCCATCACTAACCTTGCCTCCCTGCTTGTCACATCTTGGGACATGCAGATACACTGCTGAAATTCTAGATTCCAAGCCTTTTTTCACTTTACAGCTTTGGCACGACCCATGGTCCTTATTCTGTGATGAAATCATTCCAGGAAATTGATTCCGCCCTTGTCTCTCCTGACAGTCTCACCAACATTCCCCATATCATCCCCTGTGCATCCAGGGTAACTTTTCTAGTAGGAAAATTTTAGGATGTCACTCACCTTTTCAAAATTGTTCCATGGTTTCCCATTGCCCATAGTGCTCTCAAATTTAATCTACATCATCATCTACTAGGGAACCCAAAGATTCTGATTTAGTAGATGAGACCTTCTCCATAATCTTCATTTCTAACAAATACCCTAGAGCAGTGCTTCTCAAGCTTAAATGTGTCTACAGATCACCTGAGGGTTTTATTAAAATACAGATTGTAATCAGCAGATCTGAGGTGGGCCTGAGATGCTACATTCTAACCAATTCCCACATGAAACTGATGCTGCTGGACCACAGACCACACTTAGAATAGGGAGGATTCTCATGCAGATGGTCAAAAACACTGACCTAGACTTGAGGATAAAAGTTAGAGCACCTGTCATGGAATGTTTCTAACATATCTAGCTTCCTCTCTCACCACTGATTTTTAGCATTTTACTTCCTTGCTGCCTCCCATCCTCAAATACTTCCCTGTCCTCTCCTTTATGTCTTAGCAACACTAAACTACACATATTCCTGCAAACATGACAAGTTATCACCTGCTTCCATGCCTTCCCTCTGATTACCAGCAAGTTAAGTCCTAGTCGTCTGTTAACTGAGCCATTGGTGGTATCTCCTCTGGGAAATTCTCTCTGACTTACCCAGACAGACTTGGGCATTGTTTGCCCTGTATTTGGATTGCACCTTGTATCTGGGCTCTTGAACTATTATCTTAAACAATGATCATGTGTACTGCAGTTGTTTGTTTGTTGGAATGTTTATCTTCCCTACCTGGATTGCAGGCTCTTTAAAGATAGAGATTCTGTCTTTTCATCTTTGTATTCCAAGCTTCTGCTATAGCAGCTGACACATAAAAGGCATAAATGTATTTTAGGTCATGAAATGAGTAAATGAACACTCAGCACGATGAAGTGGAGGGAAATTATCTCCTTTTGTCTATGGTAGCTGTTCCCTCTTTGAGTTTTTTGGAGCCCACTTACCTTGGCTACCTGACACACATCTCTCAATGAGTAAGTTACAAAAGAGCTTTAGTGACTTGAGCTACACCACCTCAAAATAACCCTTATTCTTAGATTTCCAATCTAAGCTCCTGTCCAGGGCTTGGGTATTATAATTCTCTCCCTTTTCAGTCATTTTCTTGGCTATCTAGTGATAATTTTCTTTTTAGAGAGTTGAGATGAACAAATGGATAAATGAAGGAAAGAATGAATGAATGAAGTCTAGATAGGTGTCAGCTCTGAAGCCTCTAGTCATTGTTTTTCGCACGTCCTTTATCAGCATGTGCCTACATGTGCATGCATAGGTCTGATTTCAAAGTGGAATAGAAAAATTCTCTCCAGGAACCTTACTGATTAAGCCAAATATCTTGTTTATGAATGAAGTATTTATTTTAAAAGGCGGCTTTACCTCTTTTCTTTTTTAAATAAACCTTTTTTAGCACCAAATTTCTTTTGTTTTCACTTTATATATTTCTGTCTACTTGCATTTAAAACCCCTGTTACAATCCTCCTTGAGGCTTTGTATAGGTATGAAAACAAAAATAAACAACTTCACTTTTTTGCATTTTTATTACATTTTTTGCTTGTTTCAACTAGTATGAACTCAATTATGATATTATTTTTCCAACTTATGAATATGCTACAGCCACATTGCTTGCAGGCTGATGAAGAATGTTATTCACAGGGACTTCGTTTATTACAAATAATTGCACAGATAAGGTCAGAAATCTTTGTCAACCCTATCAGAGAGTCAACATCATAACCAAGAATTAAAATGTTATTTTGAAGCAAGTATTTAAGGAGTATCTACTTTCTATTTATCTTCCAAATAATTCCTTCCTAAGGAATCTTTATGAGAGATGATTTGCACCACTGTTGGTAAGGAATGCATTTTGCTTTTTGTTAAAAATATGTCATTTGTTTTTAATCAGCATGTACACAGACTGTATTTTGACAACCATGATTTGGAATTGATTTATTGCTCACCTGTGTTTTCTTTCTTCCAGAAAAAGTCTGCACACTGACTAATAAATCAGTCACTGGTACTTTCCATTTGTTAGTAATATCAATGTCGACAAATAATTCCATCTGGAGCATTGAATAAATTAATCAAGGCAGTTTCCATCAGACATACTGAAATGTATCCCAGTGATCTCAAGTGGCTTACATGTGATTATATTTATCATTTCAATTGAATTCCACAAGTACTCATGGCACATTAAAGAGAGACAATAATAAACTACACAGTTCATCCAAAGATGAGTTCACAGGAATGGTGAGGGCTATTGATGTTTTAGTACCTGAAAGCCCTATATCTTTTCAATATATAAATTTTTGTTAGGCTAGATTGCTCTCATTATAGAAATCTACAGATTTCTATAAGTAAATATGAGGTTTTGCATTTATCTCTATTATATTTCACTTTACTAGTTCAGGATCAGTTCATATTCTATACTTTCATTTTAATCATAATATCCATATATTATTTATTCCTAGCAACTAAAAAAAGTGATAGACATGACATTTACTCTGCCCAAATTATTGAAAAAAAATTAGACCATGACAGGAGCAGTTACATACAAGGTGCCATAGGAGACCTCGCTTGTGTTTTGTAGCATCACTGACTCTTAACCTTGAAGAGCACTTACCTTCCTTAAATGTTTCTTGGAAGAAACAGTAAAATATAACTTAATTTTTTTCTAAATTACTATGCTAGTGAGATCTATAATAATATGTCATCAAGAACAATTCTTTTTTTATTGAAACAGCCTTGTTGGTAGATCTAAATTTATTTGTTTTTTCTTAATTTTGTAGGAAAGCACATTTCTTCATTTTCTATCTGGGTTTCTTTTTCTTTTTAATGAAATGAGCAGATTGGCACCTTAGTCTCGTTTGAAAACCTTCCAGTTTTCATTTAGAGCTGACATTTTATTTGTTTTACTGATTTATGGAATAAATCATCAGTTGATTTTTTTTGTTGTTTTATGATTGCCTAAACTCAAACATGAATTTATTTCATTATTCTCACTTTTCAGAATATTTTTCTCAGCACTTGGGCGAGTACGAGAATGTCCTAGCAGCACTTGAAGACCTAAATCTTTCCATCCTGAAGGCAATGGGAAAAACAAAGAAAGTAAGAAAATGTTGATATTTATTTTCTATAAAAATCTCTTCTCTGAAAAATATTTTTCTTGAGAATCATACTTATTACCTCACATATTATAAAAGTATAGATTCCTTTTTGTCACTGGTAATTTACTTTTCTTCATAATAAATCAGTTATTTTATTCATTCAGAATGTAATTACAAATACCATGTGCCAGAGACTGTGCTTTGTGCTGAAGAGATACAGAGATACAAAGAGTTGTTCAAATAGCTCTTAGTCTGATGGGGATACAGGTATGTACCTAAGCAATTCCAGTACAGCACAACAGAAGCACAAGATGAGACATCTAGTTCTTGCTGGAGGAGATGACCCCTGAGCACTTAGAGATAAAGGAGGTCTGCATAGCCAGACAAAGGAGAACGAAACATAGGGAACAGCATGTGCAAAGGCTATGTGTCCGGAGGGGCCTGTGACACTCAGGGAAATGAAGACGGACAATAGGATAAGGTACAGAAACCAGAGTGGCATGATGTGAGATGGAACAGGAGTGATAGGGAGGGGCCATGCCTTTCTCTCTATTGCCAGCAAAGCTAAGGATTTAGGCCTGTGTCTTAAATGCAAGTAAATCAGCAAATATTTTAGGCAGAAATATGAAAACTCATACAGTCTTTCAAAAACACCATACAAGAATTAATTTAGGATTGGGGTGGAGAATACAGGGGGATGGAATCAGGAAGATGAGTGAGGAGACAAGTTCACTTGTCTGGGTGAGAGATGTCGGTATTTGAGGATATTGGCAGAAAACACGAAGAAAAGCAAATGAACTGCACGTGTATTTGAAATTATGTGCAGTTCATCCAGTAGAACTTGAATAAGGATTACCTATGGAGGATGAGAGAAGAAGGTGCTCAGGATGAATTCTAGTTTTTAGTTTATGTACCTGGGTAGTGACACTACGTAGACAGAGAATGCTGAACGAGGACCAAGTTCAACGAGGTAAGATCATAAGTTCTCCTTTTGGACATTTTGAATCTTATTTGCCTTTGAGACATCTAAGGAGCATCAGGTAAACCAGTAGATACAGCAATCTAGATCTTAGAGTTGAGGCCTAGACTAAAGATATAAATTTATGAATTGTCAGCACTTAGGCAAAGAACTTGAATGACATCATCTAGAGAGAGAATAAAAAGTAAAAAGAGGAAAGGACCTAACACTATGCCATAAGAAACTTCTACTTTTGATGGTGGGTGCAGGCGAGAGAGCCAGAAAGTGAGTCTGAAAAGTAGTGGGTAGGAAGATATGAGGAGGGCTGGGGGAGTGTCGTATCCAAAGGTTGAAGAGAGTAATTCAAGACACAGGGAGTGATCAAGAGTGTTGATTGCTATATAGAGATTAAGAGAGATGAGAGTTAAATTTTCCATTGTCAGTGAATCAAAAAAGACATTTTAGCATATAAGATATATGACAAATAAATTTTAAAGCATATGTGGGATTTCTGGATAAAGACACATTTTACACATCCATTGAATTCTGCTTGCTCCTGAAGCTTCATGAGAAAGGCTAAAATGAGATTTTTTTTAAATGGGAAGGGTATAGCAACAGAATTTGGAAACTGAAAAGCAGATGGACAAGTGGTAGATGACAGAAGACTTGAGACATTTAACTACTTGGCATACAGTGAGAAAAGCAGAAAGCCACCAGTTCTGTTCATAGAAGCAAAGGCTCAGGAATGGTGGCACTATTTGCCACTAGAGTAGGAGTAATGGTAAGGCTAAAACAGGGTGTCCTGTTGGAAATCAGTGTGAGAAGCAGTTAGAGTCCTAGATCCCCTGCTCTACCCAACTGAGCAACTACCTCTTTGACAACCCAAGTAGAAAACATAGATTTGTTTCTGAAAAGGGTAAGAGAGAAGTTCCGTGCCCTGGAGCTGTATCAGCCACAGTTGAGGAATTAAGTAAAAGTTTACATGGTAAATGAAAAGACCTCCAGCTGTCTTCCTTCACTTAACTCTAGAGCTTTGGCAAGGAGGCTTATGCCCTCCTGGCACACAGACAGAGTGGTCTGTGAGAAATCTAAACGGTACCAGAGAGAAAAGACCTAAAGATTCTTCAGTGTTAGATTCCAGCCAGATCCCTCTCTCTTTCCTGAGCATATTAATCAGCTTGTTCCTAGCCCCCCCACACGTAAATATGCATAGTCAGCCATGAAGTGTCACCAAACTTCTTACAGGAAAAGCAAAGACCAAAACAACAACAACAGCAACAACAACAACAACAAAAAAAAAAAACAAGAAGAAGAAGGAACGAAAGAAAAATGGAGGGCGCGGGAAGGAAAGAGTTAAGAGGGAATTATGCAGGAAGATGAAAACTTCAAAAATATTCTTAACCTTCTTGAAGAGACAAGAGAAGGTATTGCATCATGCAGCAAGAATAGGATGACAAACAGTGGACAACCAGAGAACAAGAAAGAGCTCTTGGAAACTAAAACAAGAGAGCACAAATAAAGACTCAACAGAATTTTTAAAAATAAAGTTTAGAAAGTCTCCCAAAAACTAAAGCAACACAGAAAATAAAAGAAAATTGGAGCATTGCCTAGGATGTCCTATATCCAAATGACAAATTCCAGAAAGAGAGAACAGAAAAAAGTGGAATCAGAATACATTTTCTCTTGACCTCTTCAGGAATATTTGGAAACTGCATAATAACTTCATTCCTTAGTAATTTCTCTCTGGAAATGTTTATTTTTTTAAATCTCTGCTTGGTATGACTGGCTTCTCTCCTCATTCTCATCTTAAACACCGTGGCCTTGGCTTAAAAAAAGTCTAAAAAAAAAGGTCATCTCTACTAAAGTATCTTATTTGTTCCTTGCTGGCAATCATCAGAATGAGTAACTATATAATTTTTTTTTTCTTGCCATATATACCTCAAGCCTAGCACAGGACCTGAAAATTAAAATATACTAAAAAAACTATTGATGGATTAAATAAATTGATTGATTAAATGAACATTCATATAGCCCCCAAAGCTAAATACTTTGCTCCTAAAAGAAAAATCGTTCCTAAATTTATTTAAGAGCCTTTCAGATTTCCTCTAATAGGAAGAAAAAGCAAGTATATAATCTGTATTTTCTCACAAACGTGCACTAAAATCATGGCCTTTTCCCTGTATTAATACAATGAGGCTTTGTGGGATTGAAATTGAGGTCAACCTGTTATTTTGGTTTCTTAAGTTACCAAATCTTTTTCTTGGCACTGATCCTTAAAATGCATTCAATTTATATTATCATACTACTTAATCAAAAAAAGGTCTCTGATTTAAAATAAAAAAGGAAAAAAGAAAAAAGAAAAGAAGAAATGGTCAAAAATAAAATTAGAAAATGTCCCTTTGTATGACAACTCAAAGATGAGTGAAATGCAGGTGTTTTGACATTTCGTAAGCCACTGTTGAATTGACATCTTCTCATACTGTCTGGCACAATGAACACTTCTGGGTAAGAAATCCAGCATTTTTTTGTGTGTGAATCTCTATATTTTTACCCAGATGAAAAGTCCTGTCTCAGTAGGAAGGGCTGATTGTTCTAGGCTTTTATGAAAAATGAAATACACGCCATTTGTGATCTACCTTGACTGGCAGTACCTCTGTTTGCTGTGTCAGAGAATGGATAAAATGGGCTTTAGCTTCTTAACTTAAACTCCAGGAGGTGACTCGGGACAGATACAGCCTGTCATTATTTTCCTTTCCTCCTCCTCCTCCCTTAACCCCATCCGTTTGACAGATTCTCAAGAGTTACATGGATTACTTTGCTTGTTTTTCTGAAGCTAAGACACTATAGGTCAAATTCCACATGGCTATTTGAAAGTCCCAAAGATAGCTAAAACCAGAACCCTCAGTCTGAGACTTTGGAATTTCACAAAAAATATTAGGCTTGTCAATTTGTTTTTCTTCTTTCTACAGGGTAGGTATAAGTTAACTTATATCATCAGTATGTGAAGTGCTTGTAATGTCAAAAAGCAAAGGTAGAATTCTGATGCTACAGCTAAAATTCATCATGTGCTGTGTTATGTAAACATAAATGGGATTCCTGTTTATTGGTAAAGCTTAAAAGGAGATTATCATGAGCTAAAGTGAAGAATGATGTTCTTAAAATAATTCTTTAGGCTTTGATAGCTATCTTACTGAGTGCAGCTGTGAAAATTTTCAAAATTAAAATGTGTGTGTGTGTGTATTCTTCTAAAAGTTATTTTTCAAACAAACACATCCTATAGTACATTTTCAATAATTTTAAGAAAAAAATAGGCTCGAGTCCTAGCACTGCTGGGCTTCTGTCTCTCCTTTACCTGTTACACCTGCTTGTGAGATCTGTGTTCCTTCTCTCTCTAGCATCTACAGACACCTTCATCTTAACTTGTCATCTCTCCTCTATCTCTAGGTCCTTACATTTAGCATCTGGGCCTCCCAGGGCCCCATATTCCTTTTACTAGTTAAAGATCACAATCTTTTCATTTGTGAGTCTTACTATAAAAAAGATGAAATAGCAATAGGTCATAGAATTTCTATTTGGGGAAGACATCATTAATTACTATAATTTTACATAAGATTTATCATTAAAGTTTTCTCTTGTTTCAGGCAAAATATCAGAGCTGAAATAATACCATGTCTGAAGTAGTGAAAGAGCCTCTTAGCCTTATAACAGGCAAGCATTTTCATTCTTCTCTATAGTATCACTATAATCCTTTAAATGTTCATTAAAAATAAAATGACGAAGTTATTCTTGGATTTCAGAGCAATCATAAAAAGCATTTTCCAAACAGCTTATTTGACATCCCATTTGTTCCTTGAAATGATCAATCTATATGAGTGTGTTTAAGGAAGAGGAGATAGACACTAGGAACGTGGAAAATAAGAGAGAAGTATTAATTTTTTGAGGGTACAAGTTTGGTTCAATAGAAGGGAAGCCCTGAATCAGGCCTAAGCCTTAGAATCCTCCTTGCAATCTTGACCAGACTTCTGTCCAGTGCCTGGCAAAAG